TCAAATTTGTTTTCCTAAGGAGTGAATGGAGTGCTCCCTAAAAAGCTGAAAAACTGGTACCTACTGATGATCATAGTAGCAGCATCCACAATAGCCAGAGTGGAAATAATCCACATGTCCATCGACAGATGAATGAATAAAGAAAATGAAATATTTTTTTTAAGATATTATTTATTTATTTGACAGAGAGAGAGTCAGCGAGAGCAGGAACACAAGCAGGGGGAGTGGGAGAGGGAGAAGCAGGCCCCCCGCGGGAGCAGGGAGCCTGATGTGGGGCTCGATCCCAGGACCCTGGGATCATGACCTGAGCTGAAGGCAGCCGCCTAACGGCTGAGCCACCCAGGCACCCCTATTTATACAATGAAATACTATTTGGCCTTAAAAAGGAAGGAAATTCTGACACATGCTATAACATGGGTGAAAACATTCATTAGAGAGTGGGGAGGGGAGGTTGAGGCACCGATATTTAATGGATACAGCATTTTAGTTTGGGATGCTGTAGAGTTCTGGAGATGGATGGTGATGATGGTTGCACAACAATGTGAATGTACTTAATGGCACTAAATTATATACATAAAAATGGGTAAGATGGTAAGTTTTATATATCTATCACAATTTTGAAATTTAAAAATCCTTACATACACAAAAAGCTATTTTGATTACATTACTTTAGCTCTCCACAGAAATAACTTCACAGAACAATGATTCAATACTGTATTTTTGGATTTTTTTAAAAAGGTTTATTTATTTGAGAGAGAGAAAGAGAGAGCCCGTGCAAGAGGGGGAAAGGTTAGAAGGAGAGAGAGAGAAAATTTAAAGCAAACTCTGCATTGAGTGCGGAACCTGATGTGGGGCTCAGTCTCACAACCCGGACATCATGACCTGAGCCAAAACGAAGAGTTGAGTCCTTAACTGAGCCACCCAGGCGTCCCGTATTTTTTGATTTTTAAACAAAGTTAGCATAAGAAATAGTAATCTGAAGATAATTTCTACATGTTTATGAGAATCACCTAGTTCAATTTATGACTGTTGATGACAGTGTCCATTGTTTGTGAAATGCCCCAATGATACATTCTCTCTTGACTTTAGTTCTAGGGTATTTTACTTTCATGGTGTATTCTTGCTTGCTCTCTTTATAACAAGAAATCTACCTTTCTCCTTTGGCTATTAGGAACGGAGAATCACCTTGTATGATGATTTGTGGTGTATTAGCTGTATTCCTTGAAGAATCATTAACCATCATTAAATAAATAATTCCTGTTTCTACTCACTGTGAACACTATGAGTGAAGCAGCTTGGTTACAATTCAGTGTCTGCAATCCAGACTGCTGGACTTTGTGACTTTAAACCATGTTTCTCATTCCAAAATGTCTTAATAGCATGTCTGTTCCTATCATCTGTCATGCAGATTCTTGTTGTATTACATTTCTGGAAAATAATTCTCATATTTTTAAAGTTCCTCTAAGGCCTCTCCAAATGCATATCATATATGCCATACTGCTTATGTTTTAAATCCGATCATCTCAAACATATCTTCCAAATTTGGTTTAGAGGTATCCATACAGATATTTTTGTAGTGCAATATTAGACAAAACCAAAAACTTTATTCATATGGACAATGCTCTCCACACATAAATCATAGCCCTAGTATTTTTGTCATTTGGTTTCCAAATTTTGGCACTAACTTTTAACTATCTCTTTTTCTTCCCTCAAATATCCAATCAGCTGTCAAAATCTGTAGTTTCGGTCTTCACAATTATTTTACATCTGATCCTTCCTTTGTAATCTGTGTTACACTCTCCCATCTTCTTTCTTCAGGACTTTGCAGTTACCCCTACCTGGAGTCTCAGTCTATTTGGGCTGCTAAAATAAAACATCACAGACTGGGTTGTAAACAACAGTTTATTTCTCACAGCTCCGGAGGCTGGAATTCTAAGATCAGGGAGCCAGAGTGGTTTGATTCTGCTGAAGCCCTCCTCCAGGTTGTAGATTGCTGATTTCTCACTGTGTCCCCACATGGTGGAAGGGGTGAGGGATCTCTCTAGGGTCTCTTTTATAAAGGCACTAATTCTGTTCACAAGGGCAGAGCCCATCTCTAAATACCATCATATTGAGTATTAGGATTTCAACATATAAATTTTGTGGGGACACATTTGGACCATAGCACTAGATTATCCCAATATCCTTCCAACCGGAGTTTCTGCCTTACCTGTCCTCTGTCCAGTTGGTTCCCTGTGCTGTTGCCAGATCTGTCTTCACTCTTGGCATTTACACAGGCCTTCCAAAATGTGGCTCAAACTAAAGGTCTGGTTCAATTACCACTATTCCTCTAGGCATACCCTAGGCCTAGACAAACTGAAGTACTCACTGTCTCCTCATCATGTCCTGCGTTTTCACACCTTAATGCTTTGATTCATGTTAGATCCTGGTGGAAAGTGCTTCTCCCTACCCCCCATCCCCAGTCTCTGCCACTCAGAAATACTACCCATCTACTATCTGCCACCTCCTTAAACTTTTCCTGATTCTATAGATGTGATCTGTCCTGGGTAAACCTCCTCTGGCCTTTTATATCTTGTTGTCTCTTGTGCCAAATGGCATATTGGTCTTATAGTAAACTTACTTATGTATTTCTCTCTCCTACATAAGCTTCTAAGATTATGAATCATGGTTCTTTAGCTACTTATGTTTCTTTATATTTTCTGCTTAGATCAATGTATTGCTTTCCAAATGTACACAAAAAGTATTTTAATGAATTGAAATTGGCGTAAGTTCAATATTGGCAATATATCCCAAGAAAATAACTCAAAGATGTGTTAAAAAGGGTGCTCTTTGTACAAAAAATGTTTTTTTCAAAACAGCAATTATGTTTATTCAGAATGTTTATTCAAAAATGTTTATTCAGAACATTCCAAACATAAGTAATCCAAAAGCTCAACAATAACAGAATGGTTAAAGTAAGGGCAGGACCCGAATCTAATTCTTCTCCTGTGACTGCCCAGTATTTACAGTTTATTAAATGAACGGTATAACATGGCAACGGGATTTTTTTTTTTTTTTAAGATTTTATTTATTTAACAGAGAGACACAGCGAGAGAGGGAACACAAGGGGGGGGGAGAAGCAGGCTTCCCGTTGAGCAGGGAGCTCGAAGGGGGTCTTGATCCCAGGACCCTGGGATCACGACCTGAGCCGAAGGCAGACGCTTAAGGACCGAGCCACCCAGGCGCCCGGGCAACCGTATATTATATAGCCAAGTGAGTAAGAAATCAGGTTTAGGAAAAAATAACTTTACAAAACATACGTACTATATCTATTAAAAACCTATGGAAACACGTTGTTAATAATCAGAAGGGCCGAGAGAAAGCCGGCTTTCACATCTGAACAAGAATTTAAATGGCGTCCTCGTACATACTTTGATTGTCACAAGCCTGTGAAGTACGCACGCGAGGCATCATTAGCTCCGTTTTATGGGTAAGGAAACTGACCCACTGGGGTCAGCAATGATTGACTAAGGCGGAGCCAGGACTCCGCCTCCCGGACCTGGGTTCTTTCCCCGCCACTCCTCGGCAAGCTTGATTGGTGCTGGGGGTCTCGGTTTCCTTTATTTCACCCGCATTCCTTTTTCCAATCCAGCCCAGAGACGCGGGCGGCAGGCGGGTGGCAGGTGTCCGGCGAGGTGCAGGTGCGGCGGTGGCGGACGAACTGCGCTTTAGGCCCCCGCGACCATAGAGTCCGGAAGTGCGGCCAGAGCAGCTCCCGGGGGCGCCGCACGGGCCAAACCCCGGACAGCGAGGGCAGTGCCTGGGCCGGCCGAATGGCCGTAGTGCTGGCCATCAGGGTGGTCGCGGGGCTGGCGGCAGCGGCGCTAGCGGCCGTGCTCTTGGAGCACTATGGCCTGGCCGGTCAGCCCTCGCCGCTGCCCCAGCCCCGCGCCTCCCGGAGCCCGCACCCCGCGCCGGGCCCCGGAGCCAGCAACATCTTCTGGGGGCTGCAGGTGACGCAGCGGGAGCAGGGCTTGGGGTGGGTGCAGAGGCGTCACTACGCGGTGAGACGCGGGCAGTTTCCACCGGGGTGCGACCGCCGCGGACCCAAACTCTCGGCTGGGGGCTCTGTCCTTTCCTTGTGGGGGAGGGGGTGTTCGTTCTTGCACTGCATCCTTGCCATTTCCTTCCGCCTCGAGAGAGCTGCCTGGTCGCCTGGGTCCGTGCTGCCTCTTCCTGACTCAGATATCTCTGTTTAATACCTGCTTTCGGCAGATATCCGACATTCACCTGAGCAGGTTTCGTGATCCAGGCAGAGCTGTAGACTTAGAGAAGTTCTGTTCAGAAACTATTGGCATCATTCAACCAGCTCTCGTCCTGGCAACAGGTAGGGAGGGTTGCCGTGCTGTCGCGTTGTTCTGTGGTCCGGATGGTAGAATGCTAGCCAGGGCTGCAGCTTTTCACTTCGGGCATGTTGGAAACACCATAGCCCCAGCTCCAGGTGGGTCGTCCTGTAGAGAAGATGGGACATTGTAATTTCTTTTGCCTATGGATAATTGAGTCAAGATCCAAGCTAAATGACTTGCCATAGCAAGGTTTTGTCAAAGCAGTAGAAGCAAGGCTCATGATTCTCGTTAGTATGCTGTCTGCTATATTTGTATTCGTTCGTCGTTGTTACAGTTCTGGATTTGAGAGAGAATTAGGGAAAGCCCTTTAACCACAAATGAAGTTTTTTTCTTAATTCCTTTCTTCCTTCCTAACTTCCTTTTTCTCTTTCTTTTCTTTCTTTCTTCTTTCTTCTCTTTGAGGGGGGAGGGGCAGAAGGAGAGAGAGAATTTCAAGCAGGCTCCAGGCCCAGGGCAGAGCATCCTGACCTGAGCCGAAACCAAGAGTGGGAGGCTTAACCGACTGAGCCACCCAGGTGCCCCCAAAGTTATCTTTTTTAAAAAAACTAACTCCCCCCTCCCCGCCCCTCCGGGGCCCCAGACAGCCTTGGAGGCACGCCAGCTTCAGAGCGCTCTATCCCCCTTCTCCTGTGAATGACCGCTGAGGAAGACAATGAGGCAAAGGAGTCTCTTCGAAACATCGAGCAGAAGTACAAGCTCTTCCAACAGCAACAGTTCACCTTCATCACCGCTCTGGAGCACTGCAGGGAGAACGCCCACGACAAGATCCGGCCCATTGCCAGCATCGGACAGGTGCAGAGCTACACGGAGCATTACTGCAACAACTCCACAGACCAGCGCATTCTGCTCATGTTCCTAGACATCTGTGCAGAGCTGAACAAGCTGTGTCAGCACTTCGAAGCCCTGCACTCCGGCACTCCGGCCACCAACAACCTGCTTGAGAAATGCAAATCCCTGGTTAGCCAAAGCAACGACCTGAGCAGCCTCAGAGCAAAGTACCCTCACGACGTGGTGAACCACCTCAGCTGTGACGAGGCCAGGAACCACTACGGAGGTGTCGTCAGCCTCATCCCCATCATCCTGGACTTAATGAAAGCATGGATCGCCCACTCAGGGAAGCTCCCCTGCAAAGCCCTGCAGCATGTGAGTGAGCCCCAGGCACGCCAGGAAGCCACCGGGGCGGCTGCTCGCCCTTCCTGGACCACAGGCACCCAGCCTCGGTTAAGAAAGCACAAATGTAGGCGACTTACAAAAGACAGCCCCAAACCTAGAGGGAATGACACAGGATGTTTCAAACCTCCCTGGAGACCACCTGGCAGGAAACTGTAACTCAGAGCCGGCAACCTGCTGCGTCCCGTAGCGTGCTTGGTCACTTAACTTGGTCTCCACTGGCTGATCCATTCTTTGGCACCCACAGTCCCCACCACGGATGAACCCCAGAGGGGCCTGCCCAATATACTGTTGAGAACCTCTCTCCCTCTCTCACTTTCACTTCTAAGCTCTCCTCGCCTCTGAGTGTCAGGCTCTGTGCCAATGAAGAGGACCCCCACTTCCAGTGTTGGTGGGAGCAGGTGTCCCGGGGAGGCTGCTGAGAACTGGGGTCACCGGCCTGCCCAGGTGCTCTGGGAGCTCCCAGCCCGCACCCTGCCAGGCCCGGCCACGCTGCAGGTCCGGCTTTCTGGGCAGAGCCGCCGAGCCGGAGGCCTGCCAGCTCCTTTCCCACCACAGCAGCAACCGTAGGCAAGGCTTGGCTCCTGCAAGGTCCAGCTGCTCAGCCTGCCAGGATGCTGAGGGCCGGCACGGTGGACTTCCTCAGTGTGATTAGGTCTCTGAACCAAAACCCAAAGGGGAATGAACCTGCCTTTGCTCTCCTTTACTTGGGAGAGGGGAGACCATAAGAGAAGCCGGAAGAATTCTGATTTTATGGCTCCCGTGCAAGGACATTTTCCTGATTTTCATAACACAGTCAAGGCCCCGACATTATAGAATGTGTCTCTGGCTTTTGAGCTTGCTGGAAGTTCTGACTGACTGTTGGCTTTTCCCTTCACAGGGGGCGACTTAGCCTCTGTGTTCTTGCTTCGTTGGGGGCGACCATCAAGAATAAAAAGTGTTCTCCCCCCAAAAAAAAACTAACAACCCCCCACTTTTTTTTAAACAGCATTAGTCAATCTTATGTCGTCAATTGTTTGAGGCTTAAAGTGGCTTAGGACACTTTTCTTCATCTTTTGGTACTTCTGTGACTTGGGTTCTCTAGAGTCTTCAAACTTCTATTTGCCCCCTAAATGCATTGTAGAAAAAGTAAAGGAGCATCTGCCATATTTATTGGGGGATTCATATCCTACCCACCTTACTGAAACACCTCTGCTGATATGATGGATTATCAGTCCTTATGTTATGGAAAACCTCCATTTCAAATTTGCGTTTAGTTTTCCAGAAATTTTGGTATTTCATTGACCAACCACACCTTGCAGATTACTTCTTGCTGTAGAAATAACACTTGGCCAGATTACATATCCTGATTTGGGGTGTGGAAAACATGGTTGTCATAGATATCAGGCATCTGCCCAGTGTTGGAATTTCTTATAGTTTGCATTTTTGTCAGAGTTTCACGATGCGTTTTGTACTGCTCTCTTTAAAGATAATTTTTTTCAGAACCCATTTCTAATATCACGGTAAGTTAAATAGGTACTTGCTAACCTATAAGAAACAAAGTCTTTGCCAAGAAAATCTCATTTTATAGGGCTCGCTTTGGACATAGATGGACTTACAAGTTGTTACGCTTGTACATGTTGAGTACTTAAGTATCTTTGTTCCTTCGAAGTGCATTTAAAAACATTTTTAACCCCCTTGGGTTTATTTTGCATTGTGATTCAAGTCTTATGTAAATCTACAGGAGACCTGACTGATGCCAAAACAAAGGAACACTTGGGATCCAGGCAGCATGAGGTAGAATGGCAAACTTACCAGGGTATTCTGAAGAAGACAAGGGTCATGGAAAAAACCAAGTGGCTCGATGTTAAAGGAAATCATGGTAAGAGTCAAGACCCACATATAATTAAAACTAGATTTTTTTCCCTTCAAGAGCCTAGATTCTCCAATTTAGAATATAAAATTATAAAATGGGAACATTGTAACAGTTTTAGTTAGACTGAAGGCCGCAACTCTGAAATACAACTATATTATGTGATTTTAAAACTTCAGATGTCACTTTTAGCCTTTGAGGGGAAAGTTGGGATGGTCATTTCTTCTTTACATGAAGAAATGCTTCTAGCAAAACCTATGTAGGAGGGTGTTTAAAAGTATAACCATTTTGGGCTCCTTGCTGGCTCAATTGGTAGAGCATGCAACCCTTGATCTAGAGTCATGAGTTCAAGCCCTACATTGAGTGTGGAGCCTACAGTCAATCAGTCCATACGTATATACATTCACACCGCATACATAAATACATATATATAGATCGATAGATACACATTTTGCTAATAGAAGCCACCACCTGTAAGTCTATATACTGTATGATTCCATTTATATGACATTCAAGAAAAGGCAAAACTATAGAGAACAGATTGTGGTTGCCAAGGGTTGAGGGTGGGGGGATAGGCCGACTACAAAGAGGCATCATGGGAGAACTTTGGGAGATGTTGGAACTGTTCTGTATCTCCATTGCAGTGGATACATGACTGTGCATTTGTCAAAAACCAAAGAACTATACATTACAGTGAATGAATTCTACTGTGTATACATTAAAAAATTAAAATTGCAAATAAATCTCTATGTATGAGGGGAGAAATGGATAATCCCTTCACATTTTTTACATTATTATTGTCTTGTTAGTAAGGAAATGAACTCTTCAGCAAAGTGTCCTAACAGTAGGTTTGTTTTATAAAGGTTGACTTTCTTATTGGTTGTTAAGTACTTTGCTTCATTTGATTATTAATTGCTGCTGTGTGCCTAATTATATATATTTTTAAAATTATTTTAAACAGATAATTCTGTCTGGTAAAATACATAGTTTTGGTTTGATCAGAGAATGCCCTCTTTATAAATAGTTCTTACAAAGCAGCTAGGAATTATTAATTGATGATGGGATATCTGGCTTATAGCTTTCTCTGGTATACCCTGTAAGTCTGGTCCTGAACTTATGATGGTTCAACTTACGATGGTTTGACCGACGATTTTTTTTTTTAAGATTTTATTTATTAGAGAGAGAGAGAGAGCATGAGCAGAGGGAGTGGCAGAGGGTGAAGGAGACTCCTTGCTGAGCAGGGAGCCCAATACAGGGCTCCATCCTGGGACTCTGGGATCATGACCTGAGCTGAGACCTACGATTTTTCAACTTTACAGTGTATGAAGGTGATACACATTCAATAGAAACTATATTTCGAATTTTGAATTTTTATCTTTTCCTGGGCTAGCGATATGCAGTATGAAACTCTGGTTATACTGGACATGATCACCAGGGTAAAAAGCCATTAACCTTATAACTATTCTGTGCCCATGCTATCATTCTGTTTTTCACTCTCAGATATTCAACATGAGATATTCAACACTTTATTGGCCTTGTGTTAGATGATTTTGCCCAACTATAGGCTAATGTAAGCATTCTGAGCATGTTTAAGGTAGGCGAGGCTAAGCTCTGATGTTCAGTAGGTTCAGTGCATAAAATGCATTTTCTATTTAAATATTTGCCACTTAAAATGGATTTGTCTGGACATAACCCCATTGTAAGTTGAGGAAGATCTGAATTTACATTTCCCTTTTTTCCTGATCTTAATTAGTGGTACAGGTCAAATTCTTTTGCAATAAAAGCAAGTCTGTACAAAATAAAAAAGTTTATTTTTTAACAGCATTAGTCAATCTACTAAGCCAAACTACTGACTTATTTCAAGATGAGATCTTGTGAACAGAGCTTGTCCTTTGGAGGTCATGATAATCTAATTTGACTTGTATAAGCACAAATGCTTATAGTATGTATAGATAGATAGATAGGTAGATAGATAGATAGATAGATAGATAGATAGATATGTTTATATATTGTGTTAAGATAGGAGGAAACTAATTTTTATTAAGATTTAACTATAACAGTGTAGTTCTCTTATGTAGTAAGAGGAAAATTGGACTTAACAGCTTATTCTCTGAAGTTACTAGAAATATAGTGGATTCTTGGAATGCCAAGCTGGTAAGTAATTTTAGTTATTGCAAGCAGGCAATCAAGCTCAATGAAATAATTATATTACCAGATAAGTGTTCTGTGACATCTTTTACCTTACCCCTTACCATTCATTATATAACTCCTTTCTTACTGAATCTCTATAAGATTTAAGAAGAGAGGGTCTTAGGTCCTGTTATCAAAGTGATTAGCTGTTTAGAAACACTTGGCATGGATCCATGTATCAGTCATGATTAAAACAGCAGCAACAGTCCAGTCTTACAACGGCAAATTGATTTATTCTGAATAGTACATAATATGAAAGTATTTCTTATTCTCCAGTATACGGGGTGCCTTAAATTAATTTCCAGATAATCTGAATTCTGTTATCAAGTTTTAAAAACTATCAGGCTAATTTATTGGCATTCTGCCATTTAGAGATGTTATTGAAAATATTGTCATTTTTCTTTAGTCATTAACATGTTTGTATTTTTCTTTTTAATATAGATGATGTTTCCTCTTTTTTTCCCCATGTGCTTTTTTGGTTTTTTGTTTTTCCCAAATTCTTATTTAAATTCTAGTTAGTTAACATATGGTGTAATATTGGTTTCAGGAGTAGAATTTAGTGATTCATTGCTCTTTTCTTTTTAATTAGATGCATTCAACATTCCAAGTCTGGAGAGTGTCGAGAATTATTACAGGTACTGTAGTGAACAGAATACAGACCATGAAGTAGTACAAGGGGAGTGCAGTCAAGTCAATGAATGGGTGAAACATTTTTTAACAGAACTTCTAGTAACTTAGAATTTTTGTGTATGTGTGTATGACAGATTCAGTTCCTTTTTTCCCCCAAGACTTTTTCTTTCCTTTAATTCCTTTTATCTCATATACTTTATGCTTTTTATTGGCTAACGATAATTTAAATATTTCACACAAACTTTTTTTTTCCCACTGATACTTAGCAGAAGTTGTATTTTTATTAGTCATTTTTTTTACTTAGATATAATTGATATATAACATATTCATTTTAGGTATACAACACAATGATTCAAGAGTTGTATGTATTGTGAAATGGTAACCACAATAAGTCTAGTTAAGACCCATCACCATACATAATTAAAAAAATCTTTTTTCTTGTGATAAAAACTTTAAAAATCTACTCTCAGCAACTTTCAAATATATAATAGAGTGTGTTTGACTGTAGTCACCATGCTATACATCAGAAGTCACTTAGATTAGAGCTTGTTAGGAGAGTACTGTAGATTTTAGGAATACTGAGAAACTGATGCTCTCAGCCTCTTCAGTGGCTGAGGCGCCCAGTTGGTCACCCAGTTTGTCACAGAAATACTAAAATTTTCTTTATATGCCATGAATGTGAAAAAGGCTATGACTATGGAAGGCTCTTTGCATTAGAAAACCAGTTCTCTAGTTTCAATGTGTTGGGATTCTTTTAGTTGCAATTTCACTTCCAGTTCTAGGATAGTCCATAGCTTTGTCCTACATTGTCCATCACTCAAGTAGTGAGAATTTGTTGAGAGCCCATTGTTAGCTGGATAGCGTGAGAGATACAAGAGCTAATATTAAAAACTATGGCCTCTACCTTCAAGGAAGTCCAGTTAAGAGAGATAAGAATTGTTTGGGAAACAATTAGAAAAGAACATGAAGGGATGACTGATGAAATGCTACATTATTTGGTAGACATGATAATCACTATGAGAAATCGGAAAGGGCAGAAGTCAGCATGGGCTGGACATAGAGGAGACTTTATCTTATTTTTGAGATATAATTGACATATAACGTTGTATAAGATTAAGATGTACAACATGTTCATGTGATACATATATATATTGCGATATGAGGACCACCATAGAGTTAGCTAATACCTCGATCACTATCACATAATTATCATTTTCTTGTGGTAGGAATAATTAAGATCTAGTCTCTTAGTGACTTTGAAGCTTATAAAACAG